AATTTTTTTCACTAGACAAAAAACTATATATATATATATATAGTTTTTTGTCTAGTGAAAAAAATTTCCCTGGAACCTAACCCCCCCTATTTACATCAATATATATATAGTTTTTTGTCTAGTGAAAAAAATTTCCCTGGAACCTAACCCCCCCCATTTACATCAATTTCCCCATAAGAATTAGATTCATTTAACATCGTTTCACTTAAAGTCACATTTTTCAGGAACATAACTACAATGTTAAGTGAGGAGTTACTGTACTGTATATAGCCATTCTGAATATTGTAATTGTACGTATCTTCAGAAAAAGACTGTCTAAATCCCTTCTCCTTTTAATATATATAACTATTTCAATAGTTATATAGTTGCTACTCTACTGTTCTGTTTTTTGTTTTTTTTAATTTTGGCTGTATGGTATTCACCAAAAGCGGAAGTGATTATTATGGAATTTAAATGAATCATGAGTTATATCTTCACCGGAATGTCACCAGAACATCTTGTAAGTCAATGTATCTCATTTGCTAATCACTCTTGGCTGAACAAGGTAACAGCTCAGGTGCTACCAGTGACATGACATTAAACTGTTCTTTTAAAGGCCACATTGGGTTGAAAATTTTTAACATGAATACTTGAAACCAGTCAGGTGTCTTGATGGTAACTCTTTGTACTGCTACCTGGAATTCTTGCTTCCATGTGGATGGTGTGACCAAGTACAAAGGGTGACAACATTGTCTGTTTTACTTGCACATTTGCAGCAGGAAAACTGGTGTCTCAGAGAAAGCTATTGGCACTCTCTAGTAATTGGTGGTGAAATGGGTACTATTAGAAAGAGGAGATGGGGTGTAAAGGGATAAAATGGTAGTCTCCCAAACTGAACCTCAACACCAGTTTTGGGATTCAGAAGAAGCTCAACAAGAGTATAAAAAGAAACCAAAACTTCTGTTGACAAGCCATGTGGCACCCAAGTCTTAGAGACACTGCTTTTTGTGCAGAATTGGTATTTCCATAATCATTTTTTTAAACTGTTAACACAAGTCTGCTTCAAAATTATGATTAAGAGGACCATATAATCAATTTTTAAGTGTTTAGCAAAGGAACCAACAAGCAACACAAGTATCCCTAACACAAATCATTTTATTCCACACCACAAGAGGGCACTGCAGTCTGAAGAGTGAGAAAATATCAGGTAGGCTATATTATAGTGCAGTTGCTTGCTTCTTTCTAATTGTTTAAATTACAGTCCTCCTTATCTTAAGGTATTTAAAACCTGCCCATAAACTTTGTTCAGAGTTTTTAATTTGCAGCTCCCTGAATTCTGAGTACAAGTTTCTTGATGCCTTTTTGCACTCCCAGAAGTTAAAAATGACTCAGTTTAGGTGGACTGTCTAATGTGACAAGGTTCTGGCTCTGCCTCTTACATTCCCACAAGATTAGGAGCTACAACTACACTGAATTTTATTTCATGATACTAGTCTATTTATAAGACTTTTTAAAACTAAACCCTCGTGTAATTATTTGATAAAAATACAATGGCCTGCCAATAATAATTTCTTGATTTGCTGTAGAGCCACCATTTCAAATCAACTAACAACAGCCCACTAAACGAGCTCAGAAGCCTCTAAGCAAGCAGTGTCCTTTGGGGCAATGTGTGGAGCCAACCCTCTAGCTGGGATCCAAGGGTGTAAAACACAGGTCCAAAATTATAGTGGTTTTACAGCACCCATTACCAGAAGAGTTTAGCATGTAAGCTGTCGGGCAGGAGCCCCTTTCAAGAAAGACCCGAAACTATCCTCCATTTGCTTCTGTAGCTGCTGGTAAAGACTCAGGAGCTCAAAATTGTCTCAAAGACATAAATCTTCAGATTTAACATAATGGAATTAAGTGCTTATATACATAGTCACAATGCTCAGAGCATCAGATTGCAAAATTAATATTTTCTGTATTAGCCTCCTACATGCTGAGCAACATTTTTCAGCATTAACAGTGAAAGTAATACTGCATTAGCAAACAAGCATTTTAGAAAACAGACAGGAAAGCCATTATAAAATATCCTCGGACACCACTCTGACTTAATATTCATGCCTGATTGGATTAATATAAGATTTTTGGAGTGTTTATACATGATACTTATTGGAATCATAGAAGATTTTCTTAGCTCTCTAGGATTCCCTTCCTCCCTGCCCCCCATCAACAGCCTTGTGTTACAATCTTTCCTTCTGTTAGGATGTGTTTTTTAATGATTAAGGTTAAGATTTTGTCACGGTTATTTTTAGTAAAAGTCACAGACAGGTCGTGCGCAATAATCAAGAATTCATGGAAGCCCACAACCTGTCCCTGAGGTTTGTTAAAGTCACCGAATCCGTGACCTCCATGACTAAATTGTATCCTTATTAATGATGTATTAATTTTGCAAGAGAGGAGGTGATTTTTTGGGGTGTGTGTGGGGAAGGGTGATGTTTCCTTGGAGATACAAGGTGCTTTCTCCCCTCAATCCAAGGTGTCAGGACACTCAATTGCCTCTCAATGATTCCCAGTTCATACTGACAAGGAAGTGATACCAGAATTCTGATCCTCCATTAGTTATTTTTAAAATGTGAGCTTTCAAAAGCCCCTCATAGAATCATAGATTTATGAAAGCCCCTCATTTAGTCTCAAAATAGTTTCTCAGATTCTTTTTCCAATCATCAACCCCCAATCAAATTGTCAATGAATCTCAGAAAAGACCTTTCCCTAAAGGGTCGTTTACTCAAATTCACAGCACTCACAGTGAACAAGGGTCCTCTTCAGTTAGGTCTGATAAATACACATTTGCAAAGTGTATGAACAACATCCCTATGGCTTGTTTGGACGTATCTAAAAACCTGTATAAAATAGAAAGGATTGGATTTTGAAAAGTACTTACATTAAACAATCAAAATACAGTAGAACCTTGCTAATTCATACTAATTAGTCAGAACCCAGTACTAATTATGGAATTTTTCAAATTACTGAGTCATAACACATTCATTTCTGACAAAGTGCAGTTTTAAATTTTGTACTTTGTAATGTACTTGTTCTGAATAATCAAGTTCTTTATAACATGAAACTTCACTATCAGCGCCTTCTGTTATAATTTAAGCAGTGGGGAGAGGCTGCTAGTATTTTGTGTGGATTACAGAATAGTATTACCAGGGCCGGCTCTGGCTTTTTTGCCGCCCCAAGCAAAACAAAAAATACCAAATACCTACAGAGCGGCCGGAGCCAGGGTTCAGGGGGACTCCCTGCACTGCAGATGTGCCCTGGCTAGCGGGGGGGGGGGGGGGAGAGGGAGGGAGGGGGCGGGAGGAGAGGGGAGGGAGGGGGCGGGAGGAGAGGGGAAGGAAGCGGAGGGGAGAGAGAGAAGGGGGGCGGCCAGGGCTTCAGCGGGGTGCTCGCCACGTGGCCCCGATCGCCATGCTGCCTGCTGGGAGGGCTCCGTGCCGCTCCGGTCTGCGGGGAGGGAAGGACGCGGGCTGCCCTGCCGGGCTTGCTACAGACCTGGCACCAGCTGGGGCAGACTGAGCACGCAGCCCACTCCCCTCCTCCGCGCCACCATCCCCTACAGGGCGGCCGGATCGGTGAACCAAAAAAACAAAAAAAGCGGCCATGCTGCCCTAGGATGGGGTGGAATGCCGCCCCGTAGAATCTGCCACCCCAAGCACGAGCTTGCTCAGCTGGTGCCTGGAGCCGGCGCGGAGCATTACAGTAACATTAAAGAGTTTAATAGCATTTTGTAAACAAATATAGTACATAATCTTCGGTGAAGTAATATCTTTTATTGGACCAACTTCTTTTGGTGATAGCTAAGCTTTCAAGCTTACACAGCGCTCTTCTTCCTCGAAAGCTTGTCTCTTCCAGAAGTTGGTTGAATAAAAGATAATTACTTCATCCACCTTGTCTCAATTAAATTACAATGTAAGTTATACATCAAATATTACTGGCAAATAGCAAACTAATTTAGAAAAAAGATCCCTTGCCACTATGGCAAGTTTTAAAAATATGAGTCCTTTACACTAGGTGCAGACTGTCAGTGAGTCCAGATTAAGAACATTCTCTTTTCTTCTGCACAAAATGAGAGGAGGCCAGTACACTTTTTATTCACATCACTAAGTATGGGAAACATGTATCAAAACAGTGTATCTGGATGAGCTCTGTTCGCTACTTTTATTACTTAATATTTTTCTCCTTCTCTTTCATTTATTGTTTCCTTTACTGGCTTTTTGCATTAATTCAAAAAATTCTCCTTTTAACAGACCAACACAGTGTTCTTGCCCTGTATTCTTGTCCCCTAGCTCTATTCTCTCATCTTCAGCACCAGATGCGGGGAGTTGAGCGTGGAAAATGAGAAAACAGCAAGTTACCTACCTCATCAGCACCAACAAGTACCACACACATCAGCCTGGAAGTTTAGGAACCAGACGTTGTGTTTTAAAAATAGAAAACTACTTGTTGAGGGACATCTACTAGAATTTCAGCTCCCAGATTAATTTCTAATGTGTGGGACGCAAAGAGTTTTAGTTTTTCAATGACAAAGTTTAGGATTGGTCACTAGAAGCAACATTTTTAAGTGCTGAAGCTCATTGCAATTCCCAATTACTAGAACAATAGCACCTGATTCACATCAGCCTCAGCTGATATCAAACATTAAGGGAGATCAAGCTTACTTCATTGTGAGATAGAAACATCAGAAGATCCAATGAACACCTGGTTAATCAGGTCTCAAAGCGGTAGTCTTCAGCCAGTAAGGCATAAACATACTAACTGCCACTTTTTTGCCGCGTCCTATCTTTTTTATGATCTTGGCAAGCAGCAGAACAGGTGGGAAGTCATATAGGAAAGATGTTGCCAAGCTTCGTGAGAGGTCACATGGTGCACCAAGAGGCCACAGAGGACTGCTGCTGTTTCCAGATGCCAAGTGGAAAAATTGAAACTGCATCTGGAAACTGAAATGAAGTGTCCTGTGGCCTATATGCCTTCCTACCTTTTCCACTGTCCCCGAGAGAGAAGAGAGTATACAATAGAATCTTGATCTCCACAGACAATGTGATAATGCAGAGGGGATTGCAGGAATTACTGGACAGATCTCATGTGTTCATTGATGCATGTCTGTGCATGAGATCAGCATTCCCAGTATGCTCCAACAAAACTGCATTTTCTTCCATGACACCATTTTTCCTTTATGGCCATCTTCATCTTCTATTAACATTCTGTTGAAAAGAGAACTTGTACCTGATAGCATTCACTCTAAGGCCAGGCCTATGACTGACTTCTCTGCCATCGTATGTTTGTGTTTATCATGAATCCAAGGTACTCCAATAACAATATCACAGTGTGCTGATGTTCAGGTCTCTCTGTACAAAGCCTTGATCAGTAAAATTGTCTAGGCAGCGATAAAAGTGAATTTTCTTCTTCCTTAAAGCTAGTATTAATACTATATTGATCATGGAAGAGACCTGGAAGCACTAGCCAGGAGAAGTGTTAATAATCAAAGTTAAACAAAACAGTGACATCCATATGCAAAAAGAAAGTTGTCTGTGGGGTAATGATCGAAGCTGGAAAACGGTGACATCCATATGCAGAAAGGAATAGTTGTCTCTGGGATATAAAAATGGGAATTTCTTTCTACGGGTGACTGGCAGAAGCCAGGATTGTAAATCTACTTTTCTGATGACTCTGAATAGCCTCAACTTCCCATAAAGTTTCCCACTGTAGCAATAAGAGCTGGGGACTGATTTGCGTGAGCATCTGATCTCAGTGCTGAAGGCCCCATATACCTACATGAAAGATGTGTCCTATCTTTTTTCAGGAAGACCCCCTTAAGCCTTGGGATTTCTAGTTGAGGGCTCGTACTTGCAATACTGCCCACTCATGTTAGTACTGCTTGTGAAAGCATGTGAAGGCACTTAGTGTGTTTGTTGGAAGGGCCTATATAGTAAGGAGGCCATAGTTCAGGTAAAAATCTTCCCCATTTAGAAACAGTGACTCCCTGACAATATGGGAGAATAGTCACTTGCCTGCAAGCTAGATTTTCCCAATCTTACCTGACCCCTTTCCTGCTTGGGGGAGAGAGGCAGAGGCAACCCTGCCTGGGCTGTGGAGACTGTGCCTGTGGGTATATTCACACTGCAATAAAGATATGAGATTGCAGCTTGTACAGGCCCACCCAAGATTGATGTATCTAGATCAAAGCTAAGGGGTATAGTCACTTGGATATGTACCAAGTCCTTGTAATCAGGAGGCGAGCCCCTGCTGCTGCCCCTGCTTCCATGGCTACACTGCTATTGTTGTTCAAGCTAGCTTTGATCTAGCTAGATTGAAGCTAGCTCAGGTATGCCTACACAAGATGCAATCACACATTCCAGCTGCAGAGCAGACATACTGTGCATCTCTTTTGGCCTCTTCAGTCCAGCCTAGCTTCTTTCGTGCCCAGACTAGGCTGTGGGGGGGAACTGTATTCTCCCCACAGAGCTGGCCAAGCTCCCCAACGAGACACTTGATTGGAGGGAGAGGGGTGAAGCAGGAGGCCAAGATCTTTCCTTTTGCCAATGGTTTTCCCTAAACCTTACTTATCTTCTGATGCCTGCAAGGACAACAGCTGATGCAAATGCCTCCCAAGAAGCAGCAGCACTAACAGGACAGTCTTCCCAAAGGCAAATGCAACCCCAAGACACTGCTGGAAACTAGATGGACAAGTTATTGAGCCAAAATATTATTCAGAAATTTTAAATACAAAGTTGAAAGTTCTCTCAGAAAAGCTCTGCAGCAGAGAGATCAGGCTAGGACACTTGTCACTGTGGAGACAGATAAAACTGAAGGGAGCTTCAATGGACACGACATTCCCCTGCTGCCAGTGAATGACAGATCTGGTTCTGTCCCCAAGCTGTAAGCAGGCTGAAGGAGCATACTCATGTATTTGGTGACCTTTGCACAATGAAGACTGATAAATAAGAAGGGGAAATTAAATATAAGGAATGCACTACGTTCATTTTCAGAAGGGAAGTCACGACCCTTTGGATGCAGGTTCCATCAGGTATAAAAGTTATTTACTGAAGTCAAACTATTCCCATGCTGCCTGATGGAGAGGACCAGACTGGCTTCTTTCAGCCATAACTCATATGAAGTTTGCTATAAGTCAGTATGCCATAGGCAACCAAATAATGAGTTCGAACTCTACAAAACAGTTCTCTAGGATTAGGATATGATGAAACAAATAGCATATAAAATAGAGAATTTATTACCAACTTAAACACCTGAATAGCTGCATGTTGATCATTGGATCAGACACTGAAGTTACACAAGATAATGTTAACATCTTCAAATTAAATTTCATGCTCACACAACAGCTGAGAATTCCAGTTATGTGTAATGCAGCTAGAAAATTTACTCTCAACAACCAGAAGCAAGGAATTTACTTTCAAGCAGTGTCAACTTCTTTCATGAAGATCAGTGAGGGTCCCTAAATTGGCCAATTTTGGTGCTCATTTTAGATAGTTTTGTCTGGCATATGCTAAAAATTAAACTGTTTACACTAGGTAGTATATGTATTCAGAATGGTTGGGCCACATTTTTAAGCTTGGGTGCCAAAAAATATGTGGGCCCTAATTTTTTAAAGGTTTAACCTTAGCTGATCTCAAACAGCAGTTGTTTCTGATCAGTACCACTGAAAAGCCAGGTCCAGGTACTTATTTAGATTTCAGTTTACAAAAAGGTACCTTTAAAATAGCAGTTCTATTTAGGTGCCTTTTGGCACCCAAGTTTGAAAATTTGGGCTGTAATTTGAGACCCCATTTACTTTTGAATGACTTAGTATTTTTCCTGATATTTTTGTTGTTCAATTTCAGTTTAAAGTCTTTTCTTTAAGAAATATTAGACATTTCAATAAATGAAAAAACAGATGACAGAGGAACAAGACATTTTGGGGGTAATCTGAATAGTGTTTATATGAACCCGCACATCAGCTAAGATTCCAAGTTTACCAATCTTTGACAAGAAATTCTGCTTTTCAACATTACGGGCCAAATTCTGCCTTCAATTAAATACATGGATCCCAAAGCCTCAAGAGGGATCACAGGCAAATTTTAGGGAAGATTTAGTTTGGTGTACAGAAAAGGGAGTAAAATAGCTGCTTTAAAAAGGATACCTCAAGCTTTCACACAAATGTTTTTTGAATCTTTAGCATTTAGACTAAGGTTTCTAAAGGTGTATGTAGTAAGACAGAATGAACAGGAAAAATGTACAGTAAAATAATGACTGTTCATCATTCCTCATGTATTCCCTTGAGTCTGACTATTAAAGTGCTTTCACATATTATACATTATATGCAAGTGATTATTCTTTCATTTTCCATGAGCTGAACATCTAGGATATAAAAAACATTCTAGGAACTATTAATAATTAAAGACTTACCATATCCTCCAAGGACGTCTTTCATGCTTTGGTTCTCTGAAGCGTTTTACTAAAAGAAAATTAAAGAAAATCAGTGACTCCCAACGTAAAAAATATATAAAAATTAAGAAGTAGATCAGCATATGGAGGTGTAATATTCAATACTATAAATTAAGTTCTTTATTCAGAAACATGCTTCAACATATCAAACTCTTAGGGACAGCCACTTAAAGAGCAATTGGTTCACGGAGGATAGGTACATCAATGGCTATTATCCAAAATGGTCAGGGACGCAAGCTCATGCGCTGCGTGTCCTAAACATCTGACTGCCAGAATCTGGGATTGGACGACAGGGAATGGATCACTCAATAATTGCCCTGTTCTGTTTATTCCCTTTGAAGCATCTGGAACTGTCCACTCTAAAACGACAGGATATGGGCTAGAAAGACCAATGGTCTGACCCAGAATGGCTATTCTTGTATTCTAAGCAACTGACTTCTTTTTTCAGTTGCAAGGTTTTCTCTACTTTGATAATCAACTAATACAGATTTTTGTGTATTATGTGCAATTACTTATTTTCATCATCCTGGTGTCCTTAGCTGTTATAGTCATTCATCCAGCAAATAATAATCCTTAATCTAAGGTAGCTTGGCTGGTTCAGGAAAATGCAAAACTTATTGCAGTTGACTTCTTCTGCTCCTTGCTACTTTGAAATAAGTAAATGTATGCAGTATAAAGCATAGCTGTGCAGAACAAAGTTTTTAGACTGACAAGACTAGAAACTGAAAGTATAAGAATTAGTATAATTTACAAGGCAAAGGCAGTCTACTCCTTGCTTGACGAAATGTACTACTTTTATGGCTGGATAGTTTTGATGATCTTTGTGTAGCTTGCGTTACTCAAAATTGAAGCAAAAAGCAAAATGTTCTTTCACATCAGACAAGTCCGACACAACAGAGAGCATTTTAGTGCCATTTACTCCCTACTTACAAAAAATCAAGTATTGAGTGCTACCAATTATATAAGCCTACAAAAATAAACACTAAGGTAAATTGTTCACCCATTCCACACTGTAATGCATTCAATAAGTGATCTTCTGCTGTAACCTTGAGTTACTAATTTGTTGTGTGTGTCTAGATCAGTGTTTCTCAAATGCAGCTATCAGGGGATAGCTCCTGGGCAGTGATGAGAGTGCAAAGCAGTGGTCCCTCTCCCAGGGCCACCAGCAGTGGTTGGACCCTTCCTCCTCCTCCTCCCCTGAGAAATATATGCTGGAGGAGCAGGCAGCTAGTGAGGTCCCCACCTTCCTGGGGACGGCAGAGTTGGGCTCCAGCCCTGGAGTAGCAGGCAGCAGGCTCTGGCCACGGAGCTGCAACCCTCGGCTGAGGGGCTCACCTCCCCCCATCGCTCTTGGCCCCTGCCAGCCCATCATGCATTTCCCCTGTTCCCTACTTCCCCCCTACCGACCTTCCCATCCAAGGCTTAATTTGTCCCCAGGCTTGCCATGACTAAGTCAGTCTGCTGCCATGAAAAGTGATATTTATATGTTTGTTAATATAACTTTTCACAGCAGCAGACTTACTAGCTAGCAAGTCTTTTTAAAAAAGCAACCAAAAAAGCAAAAGAAACAATAAGAAAAAAGACAAGAACCTGCAAAGCACCTTATTTGTGTTTCTATTCTGTTTATGTCCAGTAAAAAAGAGACAACTGTACATTATTCTTATTGAGTCTAATAAAAGATTTAATAAATTACAATGATTTGAACATGTGTATTTGCATATTTATTTGTTTTTCCTAAAGTTAAGTATTTTAGGAAAAATTGTCCGTGCAGCCACCAGCAAGAGTTGGTGGCCGCACTTTGAGGCCACCAAAAATTTTGTTGTAAGAACCCCTGGTTCTAGATACTACAGATGTCCGAGATAGATGCAGCACACCCAGCCACAGTGAATGATGGGGTGGGTGGAGAATAGATGGAATTAGTTAAGCTTTGTTACTTAGAGAGATCCATTGGGGTGAAGGAAAGGGGGAGAAAATGGAGGAGGCTGGAAGATAATGGATCATTTTAGTTGGATTTAAAGACAGTCAGTCACTCTGTTAGCTAATAAAGCAGAAAATAGCAAGTTAACACATTAAGGGTAAACTCTCAGATAAAGCAAGGAAATTCTGATTTAGTCTATCATAGTGGAAGATTCACCTCATAAATAGGACTCCCACATGGAGACCTTATGTATTGCAATACTTAGATACAATAGGGTTATGTAAAGATGCCATCAATATCCTGGCCAGCCAGACTGCTATTGCAGGTTAAGGTCTTGGAATCAAACAAGCCTAATGCATGGAAGTATTGGAAACACTTCACATTTCATTTTTAAAAATAAACTATACTAGTGTATATTTAGTAGTACGCTATGGATTTAAATTAGAACTAAAACACAAATGACCTTGCTTTGTTATGTTTGTTCGCATAACTCATTCACAAATTTCAGGGATTTGCACTGCGTCTCTGGAAAATGAGGGAGGTATTTAAAAAAAGAAAAGAAAAAGAAATACTGATGTCTCTCAGGTTATCTGTTTGATATTAACCTGCCTACATGCCAGAAGTTAAATTAAAGGAGGCTATAGAGGGGGAAACCCACAGTTCTCCCTTTTAGGGCCACCTCTGGTATAAATCTTCAAATATGGTAAGAGATCATCACTGGGAGATGCTACTTTCAGGTGCCAGTAAACTTAGCAGGATTTGTTTTGCCAAGGCTGAGATCATAAAAGACCCTAAACAGCTAAAATGGTTCCCCTGGTAGAAAAGGAGGAGGAACTGGTCACCGGGATATGAGGCTGACATACAGACTAGGAGAGAAATGGGAGCTGCATGCAGGCAGTCTTTAAGCAGGGCCTAGCATCTAGTCCTAATAGGATAGGTAAGATCCATTCAGTTAGGCCACAGTTATTTTTAGCCTTTCCTCTGTGTGCTTTGTACCTCTGAGGAATGAATAAGCAAAGCTACGATTCTGTCACGGATTCAGTGACTTTTCAGAACCTCTGCGACTTCTTCTGGGTCAGCCCCAGGGCCACCAGAACAGCTGACCAACAGCCAGCCCCAGGGCTACTGGAACAGTGGTCGGGGTTGGATCAGCACCCCCAGAGGCTGGAGCAGCAGCAAGCCCCCTCACTCCTCAGGTATTTTTAGTAAGCCAAAGACAGGTTGCATGGTTCTATGAATTTTTGTTTATTGTCCGCAACCTGTCCCTGACTTTTACTAAAAATACCTGTGATAGAAGAAGAAAAAATAGTTACCTCCATTTTCATAAATGTTGTTTTGAGATGTGTTGCTCATGTCCATTCCATTCTAGGTGTGTGCGCACCCACGTGCACAGTTGTCGGAGATTTTTGCCTTAGCGGGATCCATAGGATCAGTTGTTGCAGCCCCCTGAGTGCCGTGCTCATGAGCTGGCATATTAGGTGCCTCCGACCCTACGCCTTCTCAGTTCCTTCTTGCTGGCAGAGGGGTAAGGAGGGTGGGTAATGGAATGGGCATGAGCAACACATCTCGAAGAACAACAGTTAGAAAAAGGTAGGTAACTGTTTTTTCTTCTTTGAGTGCTTGCTCATGTCGATTCCATTATAGATGAGTCACAAGCAGTATCCTCGGAGGGGGGCTTGGAGGTCATAGTCTAACGGCTTGCAGCACTGCTCTACTGAAGCCAGCATCATCCTGGGTCTGCTGGGTAAGTGCGTAATGGGACATAAACCGTGCGGACAGACGACCAGGTGGCCACCCTACAGATGTCCTGGATATGCACCTGGACTTGGAAAGCTGCTGAAGAGGCTTTCGCCCTGGTTGAGTGGGCAGTTACAATCGCTGGGGATGGCACTTTTGCCTGATCGAAGCAGCAGTGAATGCAGGCAGTGATCCAAGAAGAAATTCTTTGAGCGGACACCAGACAACTTTTCATCCTGTCGGCCACTGCGACGAACAACTGTGTCAACTTCCGGAATGGCTTGGTCCTTTCAATGTAGAAGGCTAGTGCTCTCCTAATATCTAGGGGATGCAACCTATCTTATGCAGCTTTGGGGAAAAAAAGACAAATAAGTAAATGTCCTCCCCCATTTGAAACAGAGACCACCCTGGGCAGGAAAAACGGGTGTGGCTACAGCTGGACCTTGTCTTTGTAAAAGACCGCATAGGGCAATTCTGAAGTAAGCGCCCTAATCTCAGAGACCCGGTGGGCGGATGTTATTGCAGCCAGAAAAGCTACCTTCCAGGAAAGGAGAGGAGAGAGCATGAAACCAGAGATTCGAAGGGGGGTCCCATGAGTTATGACAGCACAAGATTCAGGCCCCATGGAGGAACAGGGTCCCTGATGTGCAAGTAGAGGCCCTTAAGGACCTGGCAGTCATGTCCTGGGTGAAAACCAACTTACCCTTGAGAAGCGGATGGAAGGCCGAGACAGCAGCCAAGAGGACCTTGCTAAATGAAAGGAACAGGCCTTGGAGCTTGAGATGCAGAAGGTAGTCCAGGATTAACTGCAGCGAGGCCTGCTCAGACCGAATGCTTTTATCCAAGGTCCAACAAGTGAACCGCTTCCATTTGGCCAGGTAGGTCCGCTCTGGTGGAGGGCGGACGTACCTGGCCATGGACAGCGGCCGAGCGCTCCTGCTCTCCCACATTTAACCATGCAACGCCAAGCCATCAGGTGCAGCGCCGCCAGGTTCGGATGCAGAAGACTGCCGTGGTTTTGGGATAGCAGGTCTGGCCTAAGTGATAGCTGTAACGGAGCAGCCACTGACAGGTCCAGCACCAGGCCGAACCAGTGCTGGCGCAGCCAAGCCAGCAGTATGAAGATTACCTTCACCCTATCCTGACTGATCTTCATGAGGACTCTATGAATTAGCGGCACGGGGGGCGGCATACAACAGAGCTCCCAACCACGGGAGCAGAAAAGTGTCTGACAGCGAGCCTCTGTCGATCCCCCGAATCAAGCATTTCCTGTTTTGCCTCGATGCAAACAGGTCCACCTGGGGAATCTCCAGGAAGAAACTCTGGAAGAGGACACTGACCATTTCTGGATGTAG